CTTGGCTCACAGTGACACATGGCCACCTCCGTGTTCTCTGGGGAATCTCTGGGTAGTCTGACTCTTTGCAGATTGTCACAGTTTGTTTTTCCACCCGGGTTGAACGCCATTTCCTGCTCCTTAAACTCTCCATTAACTTCATATCCACTTAACACAAGCACTGCCAGAGAGGTCTGGGTTTGAGAGGCTTTGTCACACCTACAAAGAAGAGGTTGTACTTGTAATTGCATAATTTATCACATTAATATTTAATAAGATCAATGTCAAGTTATTCCATAAGAGCTGGATACTCCATCCGTTATTATTTCATTGAGGTTTTGTGTCACTGGGAGTTGTCGGATGGTGAAGAATTACCTCGCATAGAACAGAAATTACTGGAGCAATTGCATATCTTTTCTGGGCAGGGACCACTATGCTGGAGGTTATGGCTTCGGGAGAACGTCTGTTTAGCCCACTACCACCATGATCCAGTACCCAAATAAATCGCTAAAAGTAATGGATAAATAGCTTTGATCATTCTTATTTACACTGACTTTCCACAAGCATTCGTCAAAATCTATCCCTTACACTTTGATGCCCCTGAGACAGTAGAGAGAGCTCGATGGAAATGAATGCAAATTTGTAATTATACTTCACCAGCTCAAGATTTGGATCATTTTGCAGCCATGTTTTATCAGAACACTGAGGTGGGTTTTGATGGTTATCAGAACCTTTTTCATTTCCTGCTAAACGTTTCTTCAAATATTTGTATGCATTTGGGTGTCTGTGTATTGCAGCGCTTTTGTCAGTATGACGGCCTTGTTGGAGAGTATAGTGACACACATTTGGGATAAAATGAGCCAATATTTACCTAAGCAGGAGCTTAACCTCACGACAGAGTGCAAAAAAAGATGTGGAAGATTGTCTCAGTGAAAAAAAGACTTTAGACCTTCTCCAATGTCATATTAAATTGTGACAACTTCTCTTAACATTTGTCAGAAAATATTTTTTCTCTACAATAGGGAATCCATGAGCTTCGGATGAGCAAGTGGAGTGGTGATTTATATATATATATATATATATATATATTTATTTATTTATTTTTTTTAACTTCCTTATATTCATGAAGCGTGATTTAGCTGAGAGAAGCGCTGGATGGATCTGCACCTCATGTGGAGCAGCTGTTCTGCAGCAATGATTGGTTTTGCATTCCAGTCATGCTTCTCTGCAAACGGCAAGTAAACGAAGGCCTAACCCTGCACACTCCCGTGGAGAGGGCCAGCAATGACGATGCATGTAATCATTGAGAGCAGGGGGCAGGTGCCCTGGGCTTTACCTTGGATCAGTGCTCGGAGATGGTGAATGGGAATCTGGACACAAGGGAGGCAGCCAAATGCATCCGTTTCAGTGCAACTACACAGCGGCAAATAAAAACAATGTTTCTAATATTTCTGCTTGAAACAACATCAACAGAAAGCTGACACCTGTTGTCTGTCCCTGACAAAACTGGTGACCTGTGTAAGTGGTTATTTAGCTTCAGATAAAAAGCAGTTGTTGTCAGTGAAACAAAAATGCAACGTTTCTTACAGTTTTACATCTGATCCTCCTGGAGTCCACTACAAAAGTCAGCGAGGACAGAAGTTGTGAGAAGAAAGGGTGAGGTTAGACCTTTAAGCTTCCCAGAGGGCAAAAGCAATTTTCAGCTCTAGTGAGCCAGCTCCAGGATCACATAAGTCTGAACACAGAACAATACTCAAGCTCATTTATTCACGGCCTCCCATGGCAGCAACCGACTTGTCTGACTTTTTTTTCTAATACACTAAACAAAAAGGGCAAATCTAGGATTGCAGAATCCACTGACACACATTTAACTCGGTGCAGAAGTTTTTACTTCAAGTGCTGTTTATTGTGTAAGTTAGTCTGTTAAGAAATGTGATGAGGAACAATCTGAATATTCATCTCTCTTCGGATAATAATAGAAGTGCCACTCATGTTGTGCTTGCGCTCTCTAAGACGCACTTGCGCTGACTGCAGTAGTACTGAGACGTGCAGGTAAGCTCTATGATTGATGGCTATGCCAAGAGTGCCACTGCTGCTCTCCCCAGGCGATGGGAACTGCACTCGTGCTCAGCAGGCTGGCATGTCAGCATTTCTACCAGTCAACACTGAAGCAAAGACATCTTCCTTCTGTTCAGTACAACTTCCCTGCTATTGCTCTCTGTCTTTGGGATATGAAATAAAGGTATTTAAAATGGAATCCAACAGGCAAAACTGTAAAACCACAGGGTGTCCTTTTGAAGCAGAAGGGTATGTTTGCAGCATACCCGTCTCCTAAAAAAGACGTTCCCATACAGCAAAACTGTAATGTGAATTATGTTTCAAGGTAACGTATTTTGTCCCGGATTACGTTTCTTTTTACTTATCACAAACGTGTCTAATCATGGATAGGGGTGTAATTCTATGTTTCCCTTAAAATATAATTGCGAATGCAGTTCAGTTGTAGAATAACGTTATTTTGTAGGATGGTTAGCAGAAGATTAATGCCAACGTGGCTCACAATATGTGGCTTTAAAGTCTTGTCTTCCCTGAGACCTTTTCATTAAACGATGGCTGTTCACGTTGAGCTGTAAAGGATTACTGCATCTTTAGTTGACTCTAGCCGGGGCACAGTTTCCGCTGTGTTGTGGCAGAGATTTCAGGTGCGGGACAAGGTTTATGGCAGCTGGAGGTGGACAAAGAGCACTTGGGGAGTCAACTGCCTGCTCTGTGCTATGACCATCTACACTGATCCACTTTACTCTCCTAATCCACTTGTCTCAAGCGAGCCACAAGTGTGTCCCATTTGTATTGTTGGTGTTTTTGAGTATGAATCGGTGGACTTAAACATTTTATGAGGATTAGTCCAGCTTAGCTCCATGCCTAATGCAATGATTAGGGATTTCTGGCACAGCAGATTAGTGAATGTTCACTAGTTACTCAGCAACAGCACTCAACTGTTAAAGACCTTAAGCCGAAATGGCAAAGTCTTGGACAAGACGGCTCTCCAGCTGCAGTACTGTGTCACTCGTAACACTTCATTAACTTTGGCTACGCAGTGATAAATCGGTTTCTCATTGGTCATTGAATATCTGAGGAAGTTAAACAATCTATTGTCACGATCAAGTTCAAATCAAGTGAGTAGCTTACATACAGCATGTTGAGGAAGAAACAAATTAAGTTACAATAATTAAAACAGAAAAAACAACTCTAGTGCAATATAATACTATATAAATCCTAACAAGTTTATGTTCTTTGGCAAATGAGCCAGCTGTATTTGCAGGAGGTTTACCCTTTTCAAATTTAGCATTCACATCTCAACTGAACAAACAATTTGGTTCTGTCATGTATAATTAAACTGCAGATGTTGTCTGAACATTGATAAATGTGCATGGTTTCCCTCATCGTCTTTAGTCAAATTTGTATTCACTTATTTGACAGCGTAGTGATCTTTCTCAGCAGAATGGTATTGCTTGATTTACAGGCTGAATAAAGTTTGATTAGTTGTTTATCAAAAGAAGGAGCTTGAGGAAAGAGTTGAAGCATTTCTCCAGCCTGATGACTTTACGTCAAACTGAGAAGCGATAAGCCTCCAAATGTGCCATAAAATCTGACCTACAGCACCAGAAACTGCTCCAAGAGTTGTGGCCCAGCTAAAGATGGAGAAAGAGCAGTGTACAAATCAAAGCCTTCAAGGTCTACAACACAGGCAGATGTTTAGGGTTAAAAGCGAGAACTAGTGGGTCGCTTGAGGATCAAAAGAATATTTTATAGGGTTGTATGAAGGGAATTTTTGAGTGCACGTTGGAAATGGACCTTTGAAGATAAAATGTCTGCTCCAATTGTGTCAATAATTCCTTTTAAAGTTTTTATTGAACTCTTGGTTATATGAACTGTGTGTGTGTGTGCTGTATAATTACACATTTCCCTCTCTTTTTAAGAAAGCACGTGCCAACATTACATCGTTTGAATAAATATATATTCTCGGTAGAGGGAAGATTGAATCAAACTCTGAATATAAGGGCTTGGGAACACATACAAAAGAACACAGGCGAGTCATTAGGCATTATGTGGTCAGAAATGTATCCATCAAAGTGGATCGGCAGACAAAAGTCTGGAAAAAAGAACAGCTTTGAGCACTTTTCATGAAAAAATAGATAAGCAAAAGCATGTTTCATACATCACATGGATCTCTACATGGAGAAATTTGTTGCGAGTGAGCGAAGATTCTCTTTCGACCACTGGTTGAAATAAATTGTGCTTAATACTGAACTTCATTCTGATAGTCATCTTTGACCTGTTGCCTCATTTCCATGCATCTCATCTTTCATCAGCCATTCGTGTGCATTTAGATTGTGCAGTATCCTTTGTAGTGTTTTTTTTTTCCTCTTTTCAATAATGAAGCAGGTGTCTAATGGGGAGATGTTATGTATGCACTGGAAAACAGCTGTGCCCGTTATATTTGCTTCACATTACCAATGTAATTGTTGTACAGACAACATTGTCACTATTATTTAATGAATTGCTTTTAGACGAGCTAAGGAAAGGTCACATTGCTCATACGGATGGTTTGGAAGGACAATATAGATTTAAATTTTGTATTATACCGCTGGATCATCATTAATCTCCTCTCCCACCATTACACATTGAAAGATTGCATCACCTAAGTAGCACAATGAATAGATTTGATCAAATGTGACTGAAGCGAATACTGAATGTTAAAGTACTGTTGATGTCCTACAAGAAGGTTTTTGTCTACTGTTTCTTGGATTTTTGTCATTATTTCTTTGAAATGTACTTGCCTAAATTCTTGGCTTTCTGCAGTGAGAAAGAAGGTGAATTATTCCTTAGTAGCATAATATAACTGCTCTACCAATGACCCTGTTACATATGCCATTCAGAAGTCTTCAGATGACTAAATAGGCTGAAGCTGACAGTCATCTTTTGTGCCTCATTACAAATCTTCTCTTTTTGTTCTTTTGTAGGTTCCATCTGAGTAGGAGGTGGCAACAAAAGACCAAATGCCATGGACGTATTCAACTTCACCTACTGGAATGCCTCCGAAGGCAATGGCACAGAAGTTGTGGAAGAAAGGGAAAGCCCCTACAAGACTGTGGAGGTGGTGTTCATCGTGTTGGTGGCCGGTTCCCTCAGTTTGGTTACAGTTATTGGAAATATCCTGGTCATGCTTTCCATCAAAGTTAATAGGAACTTACAGACTGTCAACAACTATTTTCTGTTCAGCCTTGCATGTGCTGACCTAATTATTGGACTGTGCTCTATGAACTTGTACACAGTCTACATCGTAATGGGGTACTGGCCCCTGGGCCCGGTGGTGTGTGACTTGTGGTTAGCCTTGGACTATGTCGTCAGCAATGCGTCCGTCATGAATCTTCTCATCATAAGCTTCGACAGATATTTCTGTGTCACCAAGCCCCTCAGCTACCCAGTCAAAAGGACCACCAAGATGGCGGGAATGATGATTGCAGCAGCCTGGGTCCTGTCTTTTGTCCTGTGGGCGCCAGCCATTCTCTTCTGGCAGTTCATTGTTGGTGGGCGGACAGTGCCTGAGAGGGAGTGCTACATCCAGTTCTTCTCCAACGCTGCAGTCACTTTTGGCACCGCCATCGCCGCCTTTTACCTGCCTGTCATCATCATGATTCAGCTCTACTGGCAGATCTCCAGAGCAAGCAAGAGTCGCGTGAAGAAGGATAACCGCAAGCCGTCTGGAGCCAATCCAGAGCCCCTGTCACCTGGCCAGAGGAGGAACAACACACCGAAACCCAACAATAACAACGTACCAGGGGAAGACACAGAACGTTTGCAGAGCCAGAATGCTGACGATGGAGCTAACCAGCATGATGGAAAACTGCAAAACGGCAAGGGGCCTTCCTCGACCACTGCTGAGGGAGAAACCGAAGGTGACGACGTGGCAAGGGAGAACTGCGCCCCTGCAGAGGAGAAGGAGAGCTCTAATGATTCAACATCCGGCAGTGTGGCTGCGTCCAATCAGAAGGATGAGGAGGCGGCACCCTCCGCCGCTAACTCCAGCGCCGTGACAAGCCAGCCACTCCCACGGCAGCGAGCCAAGGCAGGGGGCTCCAAGCTGACCTGCATCAAGATCAAGACTAAATCACCCAAGGGTGACTGCTACACACCGTCCAATGCCACCGTTGAGATCGTCCCGGCCTCAGAGCGGCAGAATCACGTCGCCCGGAAGATTGTGAAGATGACAAAGCAACCTCCCAACAAGAAGAAGAAAGTGCCACCATCACGGGAGAAGAAAGTGACCCGCACCATTATGGCCATCCTGGTAGCATTTGTTGCCACCTGGACTCCTTATAATGTGATGGTGCTTATTAACACCTTCTGCTCCAGCTGCATCCCCAACACAGTGTGGACTATTGGATACTGGCTGTGCTACATCAACAGCACCATCAACCCGGCCTGCTACGCTCTGTGCAATGTCACTTTTAAAAAGACATTCAAACATCTTCTCCTCTGCCAATATAAAAATAGTAGGTCAGCCAGATAAATATGGGCCACTTAGGAGGAAGAGTTGACTGTGTGTGTGCCATCCATGTGTATATATGTGTGTGTGTGTGTGTGTGAGAAAGAGGTCCGTGAGCAAGACTGCAAGCGTACGTGTGAAATTACTTTCCATAATTTTAATCCTTTTGTTTTCCGATTTCTCTCTCGATAACCGGTTGTAGCACTTTACACAAATTCAACTGCTGCCAGTTGCTTTGAGATGTGTCGTGCAAAAGCAGCATAGATTACGAAGGTTGGGGGAAAGTTGAGCTGTAAGCTCAAAAAGGAGGGAGTATGAAGTAGGGAGCACTTACGAGTGACACTGAGCTGATTTGAAAAGAAATTGAAAAGATACAGATAGGAGGAAGATCTGCACTGTACGAAAACACAAGAGTTCAAATGGGAAAATAGGGCTGACTGAATTTCCAAACTTAAAGCTGTTTAAAGTTCAGTGAAGATACCTGTAGATAGCTGTACATATCAGTGTATACTCAATATGTATGTGTGTGTGTGCTGGCTCGGAGTATGTGTGTACACCCATCTGTGCCCCTCTGCCTGCCTTCTTTCTGTCTGTCTGTGATCCTCATCATGGCACTTTCACTCAGCAACATGGAAAATAAAGTGGGGTTGCTCATATAGATTGCCTCTTACCTGGAGGCTATCCCATCTACCAATGAGCCCATTTGGGAATGAGTTTCCATTAATACATAATAGATAATATAAAAATAGTAGAGCTGCACTTCAGCCAAACTACAAAAACTACTCACTTACCAAGAGAATAAACCCTCATTAGATTTAAAGGAACACTTCAACATTTTGAGATATACACTCATTTAATGTCTTGCAGAGAGTAAGATGAAAAGATTGATGCCACTCACGTCTGTAGATATGAAGCCAGGATACAGTTAGCTTAGCTTAGCATAAAGGCTGAGAGCAGGTGGAAACAGCTAGCCTGGCTCTGTCCAGACCTCAAAAGCATATCAGTCTAGCAGCACCTGTAAAGCTCACACGTTATATCTCGTTTGTTTTATGTGTAAAATAACCAACGTGAGAAAGGTTTATGTTTGGAACTATTTCTTTTCTTTTGGCAGGGAGTATAAATTTCCTGAAGTCTTGTCGTCACCGTGAGGAAATCACTGCACCCGGCCAAGAAATAGTCCCTCACGTAACCATCCTAAAAACCAAGATTTGTCGTTTTTCACATTTTGGACTACAACCAGCCATTCATCATTGTAGAGAATAACCAAATAGCTGTCAGAACAACAGCAAGAGTTATGACTAAATAGGAATAGGGCGTGAGATTGTTCAGTCGCACTCTTTGATTTGCCTGCCGATCACACGACATCCCGTCAGCTTTTACAACTGCTGACAGGACGGCTGATGTTTATTTCATGGTGGTTTATTAAGATGCCTGTGTTTGCTGTCACTGCTAGGAAGCTTCCTACTCAGTGAGTGAAACAGGTGGCTGGAGCTCAGAGCTGTGGCTTATTGCTGTCTGTGGGAAGGCATTGTGTGGTGTGTTTGTGTGGATGAGTGGGAGACATCGTGTGATTCTGCTGATTAGTAGATTGATGTCGCAGCGTGTACTGTACTCACTGTACTGATGATGATTGTGAAGCTCTGCGTGTGTGTGTGTGTGTGTGTGTGGGAGCTCGTGTGTTGGTATACATGCTGATGTGTGTTTGCTCCAAGAGTGGAGTTTACTTCTGATCACAAGTCACGACCGTGTGATTTATATAAGGGCTATTTCCGTGTCTTAACTGTCTATGTTTTCTAACCCGTCACCTTTTTTTTTATTTTGAAAATTAACGGGAGCGTTAATTCTATGTCGATCATTATATTTTTAGATTAGAAATAATAGTTTTGTCTTATATTAATTGGGATAGAAATTAGAAAATATCAATTTACTGTAAGACATGTTCCGTGTATTCATGCGTGTCATCCATCATTTCAACCCATTAGTCAATTCTCAGTTACAATAATGTATGCTCACCAGTCAGAGTGATGAATATTCGGGAGCATTTGCCATCAGGAGGTTGCCCACAGTGGCTGGTAGGGGGGCTCTGCAAAGAATTACGCCTAAACCGAATAGCTCTTCCAGGCTGTCTCCTTAAACAGAGATCTGGGACAGATCCTATAATGAAAACTCACCATGAGGCTGATCAGATTATGGGACGATGTGGAACACCTACATTTGAGATTAAAGATTGCCCATTACACGCTCAGCTTGTGCTGACATGCTACGTGCCCATGCCCCACTTAGTGCTCCACTCTGTCCTGATCCTGTTATAGTATCAAACCTCATATATGAGGTTGTGAATGTAATGTAAATATCACATATATATATATTCATTAGCTTGCTCTATTTTTAATTATCTTACTCCTGCACTCATCCTCGCCTCCCTTCTTGCTACAGCATGTTGCGCCGTAAATCCCCTCTATGTGCAGAGTCAGTGCAGGATAAACATCCTTGCACATGCATTCAAATCACAATTCAGCATGAAGCGAGCACACTGACATTTACATGTCTTTGCTGGCAAAGAGCTATCTTAAATTACCGTACATCCATAAACTCTGGATGCATCTCCAGCATGTAGCTGAAACCCTTAGTTCCTGTACTCAAATTAAAGCTGCAAAATCACAATGCAGCGATAGCACAAGTAAAAATCCTGCATTCAAAATTTTACTTAATTTTACTGTTTTTTCTTAAAACATAAAGGGCCAGTGTGTAGCATTTGGGGGGGGGGGGTCTGTTGGCAGAAAAATAACATTTAAAGTATGTTTTCTTTAGTGTATAATCACCTGAAAATAAGAGTAATTGTGTTTTCGTTACCTTTTGAATGAGCCGTTTATATCCACTTACAAGCCGGCTGCTTCTACAGTTGCCCAGAACGGGCAAACCAAACACTGGCTCTAGAGGGGCCATTCACGTTTTTCAGGCTTTCGCTTCGGCCGCCGTAGTTCTCCTCCACGCTTGGCACGCGGGAGAAGTTTCAGTTCGTTTGTAATTTGCATCCTCACCTTGCTAGATGCCTTCAAATCCCACACACTGGCCCTTTAACAGTCAACAACTCAGCCAATGATGTGGTTTGATCAGATCTGATTAACAGAAGTGATAGTTGATAGTGATCTGGCAAATATAAGCAAACAATCCAACAACAGTCATCAGATTTTAATATATTTATAATTCCGATTAGCCCAATGCAGTAAATGACGACACTTTTCTCAACACACTAACATTTGAGTAAATGTACTTTCCAGCACTCCTGCTGTTTGTGGATGGTCCGTGTTTATCTATCCGAGAAGTTTCAGCGGGAACCGAGGCATCCATCCAAGTCCGACTTCCAACCATCCGTCAGGGTGATAAGTGGAGCCGTGTCTGTCTGACATCCGTCACACATCTCGGTAGTGGGTAGAGAGCCTTCCAGAATATCTGATTAATCTTTGCTAAGCTGTCGTTTGAGTGATACCAGCAGGAGAGTAAGTGGCTCGCAGCTCCAGCGGTGGTCCAGGGGTCCCAGTTTGAGCAGCTGCTTAGGTGTTTGATGGAAGGTGATGACAGTTTATCACCTCCTGGAGCGGGGAAAAGGGGGGGATGCATCTAAAAAAAAACAAGTGGTTATCTCCACGGCATGCACTCTAAACCTCGGGGGCATAGTTTTCGTAAACCTCCTCGCTCCCCCCAACTTGTGTTGCCAATTTGGAGGCCTGATGAGAACAAAAAGACGTTCTTGTATCAGGCGTTGTTGGTGTGGGGGGGGGGGGGGGTGTTATGTCAGAGAATGTGGGAACAAGAAAGCGTTGTTTGTTGACAGCGAAAGAGAACGTCTGTCATGCATGTAAGGGAGATAACCCCCAAGGTGTACAGTTTGTACGTTTGAAACAGATAAGCTTGCCTTTGTAGTCATGGCTACAAGGGGGGTGGCTGTTGAGAGAGAGAGGGAGAAATGGGGGGGGGGGGGGGTTGGTTTGTCAGTGCAAAATCCAAAGCTGATAGGATCATGCTGCATGTGGACCATGTTTGGAGAAGTCCCAGCCATTGTTGGCAGGTCAGCCAAGGGTTCTGCTGCAGGAATTTGAATGTCCCAGACGAAATCTGCCGGCTGGTGTAAACACTGCGTGATACGGCGCTGTTTACCATCCCTCCTGCGCTTTTATTGCGTCTCATCCTCATGTTGTGCAAACAGAATCAACCGCCTCTCGCTTTGGAGTTATCATCGTCGTAACGAGTCCATTCTGATGCATATACGCTCACGCATACAGAACATGTATTCTGGTGTTCATCTGTCTAATACGACTGGAATAAACATTGTCTCTGTTGTGATCAACAGATCATAATGTGCCGTCAGAGCTAGCTGGGCTCCTCTTCATACGGCTTATGTCAAAGGGCTAAACTCCTTTTAAGGAGTACATATGACATGTAACGTCTATCAGAGAGGACTTCAAATTTAAGGTTTCTCTGGCCTCACTCGTGGGGGCTGCTGCTGAGAATAATCTTGTGCAGCCATGCAGAAGTGTGCACGCAGCAGCTCGTGCACGCTGGGAGAGTTTTATCGGAGAGGGGAAAAAAAATATTTATCGCCAGATTGTACAGAGCAATTTGAAGTGCCTTATCCAGAGTAACATAAGCAAATTGCTCTTTTATCCTAAAAACCCTGTTGTGTGTTGAGTGTGTCTGTGCTGGAAGTTGTAGATGGCGCGCTGCAGTGGGATGCACATTAAAGAGCATCTTCACTTTGTGGGTAAGGACATTGTGTTTCTCAGCTCTGAGCTCTCATCACTACATTTTCCATCTCATCAGCTGTCTGATTGCAGAGGCAATGGAAGTTTGGACTGAACAATCTGAAACCATCATCTCGATTCCTTTTGAAATAATTAATAAAAACAGTATACAGTCAGAGCAGTGACTTACTTACATCCTGGAGGCACAGCTGGGTATTTTTGGTTAATTTTCCATCCAGTGTGCGTGTGTGTGTGTGTGTGTGTGTGTGTGTGTGTGTGTGTGTGTATTCACATTTGTCATATGTGCTTTCCAGGGTGTGTGTCTGCCATTATACAGAGAACAGTGCTGACATTTCTGTGCGTGTGTGTGTGTGTGTGTGTGTGCATGCAGCTTGCTGTGCGGTGTTTTATTTTCATCAGGGTAGACGCACAATGTGTGATTGTCTATTTGTGTCATCACTCTTTCCTCTTTGTCTTTCAATAGCAACAGGCTTCCAAAGACTCACTTAGACACATCTTTGCGTGGTACTGGAACACACACAAATACATTGTATTGTACATTTTCTATCACATTTATCAAAGCTGTTTCTTTTTATCACTGTAAAAAGTACAAATGTAATATTATAGATTCAAATATGAGCAGTGTACAGCCAGAGAGAATCTTTTTTTGTTTTGAAGTGTAATTTAAAATCTATAAAGATATGAATATTATGGGAATTGGAAGTGTTTCAAATAGATTATAAGAGTAGAAGGTATAAATATATGTGCATTTCGGGGGGCATGACTTACTAAGAAATGGATTCTTGCCTTGAAAAATGAGTGACCGGACCCAAACTTTTTAACTTCGGAGCAGCATTCGAGAGTGACTTTTGCAGCCTGAAAGGGGGAAAAAGAGCAAAGCTGGAAACCCGGACAGGAGGACAGAAGCTAAAACTAGTTTCCAGTGACCCAAAGGCCCAGCGGCAAGGGCTGCATTTTGATTTCACCTGTAAATGTATGAGGCCTCTCGCTCACCTTGGGAAGAAGCTGTCCGTCTGCTATCTTACTGGATACACTTTATAACTTTTGCAATTTTATTATGCTTTTTATTTTCTTTTTTTTTCTCTTGTGGAGCAACCAAAGTGTTGAGGGTTGAGTTGTTTGACCCGTTCTAAGCTT